AACCATTCTGCACACTAGACGGCGAGTCTGAGTCCCGTGCTTCTTTTAGTGACTCATGAATGCATAGTAATTTTCAAGCAAGAACAATGTTAGCTTATAAGTCAAGATAGTTCACTATGCCACATTAATATATTTCAGTTGCATTAATGGCTTTGTGAAGTGCAGTCTACTATTTTGGTTTATAGAGGGACTTAAGAAGCCAAATGTGTATGGGTAAATGGAAACCACAGTCCAGACACATTTCTGGATATTTAGGAGTCACAGTCAAAATCAATTAACTGAAAGTAAATAAAAGGCAAAGAATACTGTCTTAGGGTGATGGATCCCATTATTCCTTCTTCCCTAGGCATAGACATTTAGGCATAGACATTCACAAGCATTGCACATTGATGAATCTACATAGAACTATGTGGCATAAGTACTAAGTTCTCATTCATTGAATAGGTGCTTGACATACATCCCTTTCAGCAGGACTATGATAAGTATGTCACCCACATTATGATGACCGGAAACACACCATCTAGTCAAGCATTCTCATCCACAGTGTATACATTTACTCTTTCTTATTTTTAAGTATCAATTTAAGGGATTAAGGAAAAAGCAATATAGGAGAGAAATGTTAACTTTTACGGTCCATTTTCCTTGATTAGATATAGCATTATACTGGCACTTTAGAACTAACTCAAGAGATTGAGAACACTCACAACTCCTCCAGAGATTCCAGTGCTGTATAGGTAGCTCAAAACCACATGTCACTCCAGATCCAGGGAATCTGATGCCCTCTTCTGGCCTCTACAAGTATGCGCACTCTCATATACATACCCACACATAGGCACACATACGCACATCAAATAAATCTTTTAAAAAGGGAATAGACTTATAATTTTTTGAAAGAGAAAAAAATTGTACAGGAGCAATTCTTAAAATGGTTTTATTTACAAACACAAGTCATAAAATAATATGGAGTTCACCAAAGAATATTCATATAAAATTAATTGACTTTCCATCAGTTCTGAAGGGTCAGAGCCTTTTTCCATACTTTCCATATCATTCTCAGGATTCTACATCAAGCAATTAAGAAAAGTGGGGATGGGAAATATACCCTTAGTTTCTGGGTCCCAACTCTATCAGTGATATTATGAAATTAAGCTAGAACAAGTTTTACACATGATTTATGTTTCCCCAATCAATCTTTCTTAGTTTTCTATATTGGATTCATCCCATGTCAAACATCACATAATTGTGTTCACTTTTGCTCTTGAGATGATAAGGTATTTAAAACTTGTCTAAAATTGGGCATATCAGAAATGAGTCCCTTTTAGAAATTTCTAAACTGTGCCCCTTTTATTATTTGACAAACTTTGCCGAAGGAATGACTACATTTCTCTAACTCTGTAAATAATAGAGTTGACTGTGTATTTGAGAAGGTTGACAGTTTCACTTAGTGAACTCACCCTGAATTCCCCAAACAAACCTCACCCTCACCGACAGTTGGCTGACAATTCGTTGAGATGACAATAGAAACAATTTCAAGCAGTAACAAAAACAGATTTAAGCTAGCTCCCACAACAATGCAAGCCTTTTCTCTTTTAAATGATAGAAAAGGTGAGGCAATTGAAGAGGAAGGCAACATGCCCATTAGGCTCTGCACACACTTGTGGCCTGCTGCAGTAAGTTATTTACAAAAATCAAGTTATGGTGTAGGCATTGTCCTAAGCAGCAGGTGCAGCTATTAGGCAGCAAACATTCAAATATAAGGTGGCCTTGAGGGGAAAACATAAATAGACAATTTCCTTCTCCTTCCATTACAAATGTCTAACACCGGTGTGATAATTTAATAATTCAATTTCATTTGTCAGGAAAAATTAGCCATTATTTGAAGACTTGAAACCATTAAGTCTGAATGCTTGCAAGTGATCAAATCATGGTTGTGTATTCACTTAAGGAAAATTTCTCCCCTTTGTCTTCTGTTCTCCTTGTGCTGTGTTACCCTTCAGGTATGTAGCAGAATGTGTGTTTAGTGGGGGGTGGGGTCAGCGGTATATTTCATCTTTTCCAGGGTGCGCTATGGCTGTTAGGGAAAGTGTTGCTTTTCTCAGCTAACTAGGAGTTTCCTCTGGATGTGAATCCCTAGGTGAGGGAAACTTGCAGGGTCATTTCTCATTTTTGCTGTTTGTTTTTCCCTCCCTCCATTTTTCACACATGTGAATGCAGTGCACACAGGCATGTGCAAATGTTCCATGGGTGTGCATGTGTGTTTATGAGTGTATGTGTGTGCCCCTGTGGAGACCCTGGGTGGATGGATTGATGCTAGGAATCATGTTGGATCACTCTTTCAGCTCATTCTTTGAGGCACTTTCTCTCAGTCAAATCCAGAGCTCACCCATACAGCTAGCAAGCTTGATCTGGGATCTTCTGCCTCTGCCTTCAGGGCTGCAATTGTGGGCGGGTTGCACACTTACCACCTTTGTTAGGACTCTTCCTTGGTTCTGGACATCCCAAATGTGCTTGTATACCACATGTGTTTGGGTGATTCTCTTGATGGTTCCTTATGCAGAAGGATAATGAATGGTGATAGTAACTGGAAGCACAGTGTGGATATGGAAGGACTGTGGAAAGGTGTGTGCCAGCTGCATCACAGGAGAGTGTTCAGAATGAAAAAGGAATAGCTTTAAACACGTAGAGGAAGCATGAATTTAAGGAGCACTGAAAAAGTTAAGACGTCACTATGGGAAGAAGCAAGACATTCAAATGAGCCATGAGCAAGGTTTTATAAACGAAAACATATAAGATTGATCAACAGCATTAAATGCTCAGAACTGACGATGTGTATAGTTCAGTAACAGAAATAGGAGTTTCTGGAAAACAGGAAGCCAGGCTGCAGGGGGATGAATTTCAATCTCAATAAAATAGACAAACTCAAAATCTCCTTGAGTGTTTTGGGTACAAAGGGCAGATTCAGGTCAAAGCATTTTGGGGAGAGTAGATCATAGATGGGAAATAGGAAGATCTTCAAGATACAAAAGATTGGTGGAATGAAAAGTTGAAGAAGAAAAACAGCAACCTAAGTTATTTTATAGATACATTCTCCCTGTTTTGCCCCCTCCAATGGACTATTCCCAACACAATGTCTACTGCATGCAGGTGATTGTAGAGGCTCACCTGTGCCATGATGGAGGGATGGAGGGCTTTGCCTACAGAGGCAGTGAGGTTTTGTGAATCCCCAAAACATTGAAAATAGACGGGTACAGAGGCTATGAGATCATTTTTCTCTAGCATAGACAGATTTTGATGTAAATTACAAAACATAAATGACATAATCAACATAGGTGGTCCAAGTATATCATTTTATTTTTATTAAATATTGGGATATTTGCTACATCCAAGCAGGTCTACATAGCTTCTTCATGACATCAAAACTGTCTTTTATTTCCATAAGTCAGACTCTTTGGATGGTGACCTGCTATCTCCATGCCACTCTGTCTTGATGACTTAGCATGCGGTGGTGTTAAAATGGGAAGCAGAGCTTTGAAAGTTCTTTGAAAACACATGTTCTTTTTCAGTGAGTGCAAATATGATAAGCCCTGCTTTAAGGCTATTAGAGAAAAATCAACTCAAATACGAGGAATAATGTCAGATGAGAACAAGGGGAGCAGTCTCTTTAATAACAGTTACCAGTCAGCGGTGTCTCTTACTGAACATGAAAGTCTTCGTCTTGGAGTGTGGGCAGATGTGATGGGCGATATTTTCATCCAGCACTCACGACACTGAGGCAGAAGGATCTCATGTCATAGGCCAGGCAGGGATACACACAGAGACCCTCATATCAAAACCAAACACCAAAAACAGAACACCAAGCTGAAGCCATCCAAAACTGAATGGAAAAACATTTAAATCAACTCTTACTTGAAATGTTATGTTCATCTTATCTTGTATAAATATCCTGGGCACTCAGAAAAGTTGCTATTACTTTAATTGTCCTTGAGCCCTTTAAGGAACAGATTATATTTTTCTGCACTTTTTTCAGTTTTAGTAAATCATAAATTTAGATCCCTCAAAGTCATAAAAAATCTGTCAAACACTTGAGGGTCCATGAGAATGAGACTATTTCTGAGTGGAATTTATGGGAAAATTTACTGGAAAAGCAAAGTGAAACAAATACATAAGACTGTGTTTTACTGTTTGGATTATTTAAACAACATAGAGCACACAATACCCAGATACTTCTTAGAACCAATTAATAGTTTAAATACTTTAATTCAAATTATGAAACAATTAGGATTGGACATTACAATATTGAATGTGACTATGTCCACTGAAATGTAGAGAGGAAAGTAATTTCATGTGTTTCACAGTCTTGAAAAATAACAAGATGTAGCCGGGCGGTGGTGGCGCACGCCTTTAATCCCAGCACTCAGGAGGCAGAGGCAGGCAGATCTCTGTGAGTTCGAGGCCAGGCTGGACCGACAGCCTCCAAAACAATACAGAGAACCCTGTCTCATAAAAACCAAAAAAAAAAAAAAGAAAAAATAGAAAAATAACAAGATGTATGCGTTCAGTCTGAAAAACCCAGTTTGGTCTCAGGTGCTTGTCTTCACTCCTGAAGTCACCAATTTAAGGCAAGCCCTCAAATGATTTGGAAATTTAAATATAAAATACTATTCTGTATTGTTGGAAAATAATTAAACCGTATTTTAGAAAGCTCAAAACAGCACTAACGTTAACAAAAGAAACCCCCGGCCCCACCCCAACTACCTTCCTCACAGGTAGGACTGTTGCTAGCCTGCTGGTTTACTTTCCACAGTACTTGATTACATATTTTCTTTCTGACTTTTCATCGTTATTATTTTCCTTTCAGCAATTAAGTCGTGATTTTTTAACGTAATGTCTTAAGTCCTGAGAGATGACTCATTGTGTAAAGGTGATTGCTGTCACATCTGGCTACATGTTTGATACTAAGAACCAACTTGTTAGAAGTGGAAAGCTGGGGGTTGGCTCTGCTTAGGGTTTTCAGGAAACATGGAAGAGACTAAGAGAGTTGGAGCTGGAGCTGAAGGACTATTGTGACCTCTGGGCGCTCTTTGAGAGGAAAGGGGAGGTAACAGGATGCCACTGGAATCGTCTTCCTCATCAATGCCACCATCCTTCCCTTCTGTGTTGCCTTCAGTGCCAGACGATACTGCCAGTTCCTCCCCTCCTCCGATGTCTTATATCACTTCCCAGGAGATGAAGTGTATTCTTCACTGGTCAGGTCCCCAGCGGGAACGTTTTCTACAAGACCTGGTAGCTAAGGCAGTGCCTGGAAGGCTACAGCCACTGCTGGATGGTCTGGAGCAGCTCAGCGTATCTGGGGCAAACCGGCCACCTTGTATCTTCGAGTGTCAACTACGTCTTTGGGATCAGTGGTTTCGAGGTTGGGCTGAGCAGGAGCGCAATGAATTTGTCAGACAGCTGGAGGTCAGTGAGGCAGATTTTGTGGCAAAGTTTTACAAAGCAGTGGCTGCCACTGCTGGTAAAGACTGATAGGCCTTCAGATCAAGAAGATAACTACATGTGCTCCAGCCAAAGACCATGACTCTAGTGAAGATTCAGTGCAAGTGTGTCATTTAAAGATTGGCCTGAACTGCAGGGTGCACTTTTCTCCCCTGTACCAGGAGGCAGAGGCAGCCTGATCTTCATATCAAGTTCCAGGCCAGATAGTGCTACAGAGTGAGACACTGCTTTTAAAAAATTGCTTCAGCTGGGTGTTAGTGGCGCATGCCTTTAATGCCAGCACTCGGGAGGCAGAGGCAGGCAGATCTCTGCGAGTTCGAGGCCAGCCTGGTCTACAGAGAGAGTTCCAGGACAGCCTCCAAAAAATACAGAGAAACCCTGTCTTGAAAAACCAAAAAAAGCTTGAACTTGATGACAAGTGCCAGCACACCCTTTGGGTGTGGCTTCAGGTGTGGATGTGGAGGGAAGGTAGAGAAGTGCAGGGTGGGCTCTCTTCCTCTTGAGTGGGGATCGCATCAGGAGCAGAGACTGCAGATTCTGTAGCAGGAATGCTGTGGCGGTTCTTTACTGTTATCTGTGTAAGCTGTTCCCCAATAAAACAACCATTTATCATTTGTCTTAGATCTAGTGAACTCATTAATGTCCCGCCTTCAATTGGCGGTGTTTTTCTTTCCAGTCAGGTCTCTAACCGCTTCAGCCCCAAATGAACACACAGAGATGCTATATTAATTATCATCCTGTTGGCTGATACCTAGGGCTTCTTACTGGCTAGCTCTGTCTTAATTATTAACCCATAACTACTAATCTGTGTATTTCTACATGGCCTTATCTTACCAGAGAATGCCTGACACTTCCCATCCTCCCAGTCTTTATATGGCGTCTCCTCCCGCTCTCTGCCTACCTTTCTAGTCCTGCCTATCTTCCTGCCTCTATTGGCCAAACAGTGTTTTCTTCATCAACCAAAAGAAAAAACATTTATACAGAAGGACATCCCCCACCATCAGACACCTGCTTTATTTACAGGAGATGTCTAAATCTCAAGAATTTAAAACTTCTGTAATCACTAAAAAGAACCAGTGACTTATAACTTAGGGCTACTTTTGGCTATAGATGACTGATTTTACCACATTTACCCAACTCTAGCATAAAATGTGATGTCCCAACCATTGGACTTCCCAGTGATGATTTAATGAATTAAGGAAAATCAAGAGAAGGAAATAATTGCCTGATCCTGTACATTGTTTGACTCCAAAGAGCAATGAAAGATAAGTATTGAATAGCAGTGACCTTTTCTAAAACGTGTGATGCCCTTGGGGCTGGTAGTAAATGTTCTGCCATTGGTCTACAACAGTCTGAAAATAAGTGAATAAGTGATGCTTCACAAATTAAACTGTTTATTTGGGGAGGGAATTAAAATAAAGAATAGTTCTTCAGTAAAAAAAAAAAAGAAGTGGAAAGCTGACATGTTGTCCTTTGGTCTCCACACAATCACTGGCTTGAGTTCCCCACCCAGTCTATACAGGCACATACACACACACACACACACACACACACACACACACACACACACACAGAGACAGAGAGGGGGGACTCTGGTAGCAGAAGAGTAAATGAGGCATCTTTGGAAGTCTAAATTAGGTAGCCATAGGACAGGAGAGGAAAGAATAAGAATAATGTATTGATTTAAGATTTGTTGTGGTTAATAATGTGTTTTTTAATGGTGTAGCAAGTGTCTCTGCTCTATAAGGTCCCTCAGGGACTCAGGCAGATAACTTGCCTTCTTGGCACTTTTACGGACACAAGTTGCAGAGCATGGAAAGAGCCGAGGAGTCAGGAAGTAGCATGCATGCATTCTGTCCTGTTTCTGTGACCAAAATCCTAAGAGGATCCCTAATGGGCTGAGAATGCAGGGAGCAAACAAATACTTGGTGGGTGTCGTGTATAAAAATGTAATGAAATGTATACATGTAAAAGTTTAATTTTCATTTCGATTTTTCCAGTAAACCTGTTGTCTCTTTGAAAAATTTCCACATTTTCTGTTTTCGCAAAAATTTGAGCAATTGTGCACATTATTCTAACCTTAAACTCGAAAAATGTTTTATTAATCAACATGTATTTATATTTATTTTAGGAAAATTTAATTTACAGAATTTATATTAAGAAACAGCACATGGATCTTGATCTGCTTGTGTTTCTGCAAAAGAAATGGAAGTTTTCTGCGATATGAACTTCTGAACATTCTAGTTGTGTGTTCTACAAAACTCATCTTGTATTATTACCTGTCCTTTGGTGGAGCTGCAATGCTTCTCTTTACAGCTTTCCATTTCCAAATGATTGAACCAGAAGATCGTCTACAGGACACATACATTCCTCAGTGGCTGTACTACACTGTCTTCTGAGCTTACATTCCATGTTTGAATAGAATATTCCACTGGTTTTTCTCCCAGGAATTTTACTTACACAATCTTTCAAAGATCGTTGTCCTATCAACATATCTTTCTAAGATGCCAATCTCTCAGTCTCTGTCTCTGTCTCTGCGAGTGCCCACGTGTCCTGTGTGTGTGTGTGTGTGTGTGTGTGTGTGTGTGTGTGTGTGTGTGTGTGTGTGTATGCGGTGTCTGAGATGGACAGAAAAGGGTGTCTTTTTCTGTGGAGCTAGGGTTTCAGGTAGTTGTGATCTGCCCAACATGTGTGCTGGGAACTAAATTCTGTTCCTCCATAAGAGCACAAGATGCTCTTAAATGCAAAGCCACCTCTCCACTCCCTTGAATTATCTTCATGAATTGCAACCTTGAGCATACTGCCAGTCCCTGCTGAGTTCTTAGAGATCTCCCAAGACTCAACTCAAATGTTAACTGTTTCTGGAAAAACTTACTATGCCATCTTTTCATAAAGTGTCCTGTTCATTCCTCTGCCTAAAACCATCGACTTGTAATATTTTAGTACATTGTCATGGTTTCTTCAAGAATATAAGCTTCCTAAGGCAGGGAGAAGCTGAATTTCAGTGTGGTCTCTCACTTTTGCTGGGCTTTGATTTATGTCTTATGATGATTAATCATTGGAACCAACAAGTGGAAAGTCTTTGTGGTTTTCTTTGACATAACCCCTGAGGGCAGCCTCCATGATGTTCTCACCCATGCTTTCCATTTTATTAATTCAATATAGACTTTTGCAAAGTTGGAGGTTATAGACCACGTGAATTCAAAGTGACTTGGAGTAAGAGAAAGTTTATACTGTTTTAAGGATTGCATTCCACACTGTGTGATAGAGAGGTCAACTAGCTTTAAAGTGTGCCTTCCTGCCCTAGTAGGCCTTTCAAACTACTGCGGCTTTCCAAGACCCAGAAGTGCAAATTGATGGAAAATGAATTATTAATGTCTAACTCTCACAGCAATAGAATATTTTGGCTCAAAGAGTCATATTTCTTCCATGTTTTTAGAGTTTTTATTAATATAAACTCCTGACCCTTTGGTGAGGTGCTCTTTTTGAATCACAAATTTGCTGACATTAATAAATAGGATACTGCTATTTTTAATGAGCATGATAGTGTTGTTGGGAAGGTTATGGACTGATTACAATCTAAACTACAAGCCAAGAGTAACTGAAAAATGTATAAATGCAGCTGAACACTTCCTATGTAGCAAAGTTAGTCATTTGCTTTGGTTTCTACATCGTGCCCCAATCATGATTTGTGGTATAGTTGAAGACAAGTTTAGAAAAATCTGAATCCCCGTCTCAATATAAAATTTAAATGTGTTAGCTACAATGACAGAGGTTGTATGTACTAGTTACTCTAATATTCCTTTGGTTTGATGATGGAGATTTATTTTTTGTCCTTGATTGTTGTCATGGTCAATCCCATCTTGGGATATTTAGAGGATCCAGCAACCCAGGATCAAAAATTCGAAGAGAAAGTAGAATTTATTCACCAGTAGATTTGACTTTGTGGTCAGGAAGTTTATCTGAAGTACAAATGGCAGTAGTTATGTTAGGGAATGTGGTGTATATGTGTGTGTACATGGGGTCATGTGTATTCTTGTAGAGATAAGAAGTAAGACATGAGCTGTCTTCATTGACCAATCTTGATCTTATGACAAGATCTCTTACCAATTCAGCTAGGCTGGCTGGCCAAGGCTGGCTGGAAGATCTTTACATTTGTGCTTCGACAGAGCTGAGTGAAATGGCAAGTGTGAGTGGCCATTCCGATTTTTTGCATGAAATCTGGGGATCCATAGTTAGGACCTCATGTTTGCATTTTATACACTCAGCCATCTTTTCAGTCTAGTAGTTAACTTTTTTCTTAATTGACAAAGCAATCATTGGTGATATTCCCTCTATACACTTCTTTATTAGACAGCATCTTTGAAAAATCATTTGTTAAAAAAGAAAACAATTTTCCAAATTGTGAATTAAAAATCAAATCCAATGCCCTGTCCTAAAGATGACCTTATATATTTTAGGACAAAGGTAGCCCCCATATGTGTAAATTGACAGAATTGGTTCCAAAAGGACAGACCACTAAGTGACCTCTCCTGGTACTCTGATCTATGGCTTATACAGTGACAGTGCGGTTATGATTGTCTTAATGTGACTTTCATTCCCAGGAGAATCACAAAGTCCCAAGGGGATCTCTTTGACCAAGAGTTTTGTGAGATGTCTTCTTGCTATTTTTTAGCTTCATATTAGTGACATGGTTTCTGAGAGGCTGCAGGCTACTGCCAGTCAATTATGCTGCCTCATAGTTTATGAAATTTAACCTTCCATTTCCATCTGGTCAGTTTATGCAATGACTTTAGACAAAACAGTTACCACAAAAATAATTTATCAATATAAATTAAAATATATGGCTTTCTCAATGAAATATTAGTTACTAGTGAATAAGTATAAATTATGTATCATGACCTTCGGTTTAGATATGTTCTTCCTATCTAGAAAAACATGTCTGAAACACATGAATGTTACGTTGTAGATAGAGAAGTATGATGATAGTCTTCTCTTCATTCAGTGACATTTTCTGTTCTGCATACATT